TCTCTTTTTGCATCATTCAAACTTTACCAATTTTTATACAGATTTTTTCTTCTTTTAATAGTTCCCACCATTACTGGTTAGGCTGGCTACAAAGGTGAGGGGTTTCCAAGCGGCGCGGTCTGATGCCATCGGCGATAGTAATAGAACCCATTCCTTATTCCATCGTCTAAGTCCATATGTTGCTGGTCCACCTATTGTGTTCAAATTCTTTTCTGACCGTATCCGGGTCTTGATTGGCCCACTTTTTGGTGGGTTTAGTAAATAACGAAATATGCACCAAATCTTGTGGTATGCAATGAAGAATGTGTCTTAACCAGCGAAAGTGACGTTCTGTGATGGTGCTGTTAATGCAAGTGGTATTTGAGCGAGAGTGCATACATCATACGAGATTTTATCCATTCCCTGAACCCGTAAAATATACTACCTAGACATAAGCGGTCAAAGACTTCTTAATATCCTCCACTCTCATTGGCTATATCTGGACTAATCTGTACACCTCTTGAGTGCCGACAAGCGGTGTCCATTATCCAGTCTACCACATAGCTTCGAAGGAGCTGTTCCTCATATACACAGACCTACGACGACGTAGGCTGGTAAAATGCTTTTATGAGTCAAATGATCTTCTCTGGAACACCGTCGTGTTTCATCATCCTCCAAAGCGCGGCTCTTTTTTTCTATCAATTGAATCGAATGTAGTTGTTAATCGATGAAACACATAACGGTCGGTTGCAAATATCTGAAGCGATATTCCAACACCCTTCTTAACGACTAGTGAATGTCTGGACAACCTTGCCCCGGTCTGAATCTAGCTTGATTAGGACGCATTCTCCTGTCCTGTATTTCCATAAGTTTGCGCTGATTCCTCGATAAATATTTCCTGTTATCTTTCTTGAGAATTAGGAACAGAATTGCTCTGCTTCAGTCATTTGGTATTATTTTTTTCTTGCATACCAAAAAGTATATTTGTTGAAGGTGCGATGGACGATGGAATCGACAATATTTGAAAAGTTCAGCCCATCTTCTCACGGAGTTTTATTGGCCTTAAGCTTATGAATAAGATTATTTCTATTGGCGGTTAGGCGAATCACAAACTTATGGTTCAATGAACGAATCAACTATCTCAGAGACGACAGATGGCCCATCTTGGTTGAGTTTAGCCTCAAAGAATTTCTAATTCCTTCCATTTTATGAAGTGATCCTTAATACTCTTAACAGTTACACTATTACTTCCCTTATCATTTCACTTATCGTTCCAAGTTATAGTTGCTTTATGAAAACGGATAGATTCCTATTATCGCTAATATAATTCAGGTATTCAGGTGCCGTCTCCATTCTCAAAGCCATGCCACTCCAATAGTGATTTTTGCCCGTCCCTGCTGCTTTCGTTGGAAATCTTCGAAATATCTGGTAGTCATCTCTTGACACTCGTGCTTTGGTAGCTTTTTCAGAATAGTTGCTTCTAATACCCAACTAGCACACTTCCTATTAGCATAATCATGGAAAAGACTGACTATCGGCGACATCCTTTAGTGGGACCAGTATTCATCTACCGTTCCAGAGATGTCATTGGTATTCATTTTGCTGAGTTGCTTCAATAATTCGTTTTGAAATGCATTCATTATCATCGAATTTTTTAGTTTGAGATAGTTGAAAGATCTTGAAGGATGCTGTTTTTTGCGAGTTGTCAATTTTATACTAATCTTGACTCGGGTCATAACATGGTCAGATCTATGAAGATGGCCCGTTTCGCTGCGATAGGAACGACTATTTAGTATGGAATTCTTCCAACGGCGACAGATTAAGATGTCAATCTGGCTAAAATGTTGGTTATCTGGGGATTTCCACGTAACTAGATGTTTTCTACGGTGCTAGAAGCAAGTGTTAGTAACAAAAAGTTCATGATCTTCGGCATAGCGGAGCCTGCTGCGCGTGAAAAAAGCCGTCCCCAGTTTTCGAATAATAGTCCTGGCTTGCAAGCACATTTTATTTATCAGCCCTGGGATATCGTTTTACGCCCAGATTGTGTAATTATCGCGTGTACCATACTACCGGGCTGGGTGTATCATGCGCATCGGAAGACGAGGATGCCGCATCAAAAATATCTGACTCTTTTACCATGGTGTCACTTGGGAATAGAGTTATAGGTGGGTCCCCAGCAGCCACTCCGATTTTTTACGACAGGTCCGCTCCTGTCGAATACAGACAATGTTAAATTATAATGTTATTATATTATATATTATTATTATGTATTATGTAATAGCATAAGTGAGGAAAAAAAAAATCAAATTTAATACAAGAAAAAAGAAAAAAAACTTGAAAAAAAATTGCAAAAATTTAGAAGAATTTGAATTGCAATTGGTTCGCTATGTTTTTTTGGTGCAAATAATTTATATAAAGAAATTCAGATATTCGCTAAGTGGAAATCCAAAAATAACTGTGAATTCAATTGTAATTCGCTTAAAAATCGAAAACTAATTAAAATGGATGATAAAATTCACCTTCATTAAAAAAGTATAATTTTTCAAGAAACTTTAGTGATAAATACTCTGATAACGTTATCTGATAATTTGCAGAGAAGTTACAGTAAATGTAGCTTGGCTGGTTTCATAAACTAAGGAATATCCGTAAATCAAATTTTGTAAAGAAAATAATTTAATTAACAAATCCTTTTATTAAAAACCACATCAATAACCAGTATTGAATTTATTTTAATTTCTCATTATTTGCTTAAAAAAGAACTAAGCAAGGTTAACCAAGTTACCATGTGCTGGTGTCAGTTCTTTCTTTAGAATTATTTTAGCAAAAGAAAAGGAGAACAATTGGGTGAACGGTGATTCAGGCTATGGTTTTGAGAGACAAACTTTCGGCTTTTATCCGCGATAGAAGTAAGCGTATCATTGGAAATCTGGATTTCATGCAATTTTATCTCCAAGTAACTCTTGGACAAAAATTTTTAACTGTATTAACAGGCAATGGAGATAAGTCAACAAAAAATGAGAGCCACTTTATTTAGCAAAGACCATTCCTTTGTTTCTTATTCCATTCAAATCGTTTTAGCATTAAGGAAATTTTAGCTCATTTTTAGTCAAGGAACATGTTCCACTGGCTATTAGGATTAAGTCCTTTCTCCAGATAGTCATTTGGAGATATAAGTGTGGTTGAACACATCCGGATTCCATTCTTATAGGCTTATTTTAAGGACAGTCACAGAACACGAACAGGAGTGATATCAAAGGTCAGTCGAAGCAACAAAAGATGCATTCCCTTCTATTTTAAATGATATTTTATATTGTTTTTTGGATGGAAGATATTGTATTCGATTGATATTTCACCAATAATTATGAATTTTTTCTTGCTTCAAAATATAAACATAAAAAATGGCAAAACAACTCGATGTTAACTGAACGTGGTGAAAGGGAATATTTTTTTTTGATTCCAATTAAAACAACCAAGAATTCATGAAACATAAAACAGCTGATAATACAGATGATGAATAAAAACAAGGAAAAAACGCACAAATCAGCGGCGTTTTAGTGTTGGAATAACGTTTGTGGTGAAAAAATGGATGGAATATTCTTATTTTTCTCTATGGTATTATCCATAATTGCTTCGATTCGAGCCCAGTTTTCACCCATATCGACCTTTTCTTCGTAGATTTTTCATAAAAATTATAGTTAAATTAAATTAAATTATAGTAAAAGCTTATGTGCAAAATTTAACAGCGCTGAAACGAAAGTCCTGGATTCAGCTGTTTTTTCCATTTCATTCTTCCTTCGAATTCAGTTTGACCAATATGTTGAAGGAATCATTGTTGAATTGCTTAGATTATTTTACTGAATTAAATTAAATTAAATTGAATGGCATTTCTTCGCCATATTTCAGGTTGCATTGACGATACGAATTGCCGAGTCTTTGAAATTTGTCACGCTAATAGTTGCAATACAGTAATATATTGGATTTTAGCGGTAAGCCAAACGATAATAATTGTATACAGTAAGAGTAGCACCAGTTATACGAGACATTCAGGTTGTCCAGGAGATCATTGTCCAGCGAATAATGTCTGTGCTGCCGGAAAATGCCTTCCGGATCCCTTAATACCAGGCAAATATTTGTTTGGCGATCCTTTATTCTTTTTCAACTTAGATATTTATTACACAAAAATTTTGAAATATGAGAATTATTAAAAATGGTAAGGAAAAAAATTGTTTTTTGGACTTATAAGGGTTACTTTTGGAAAGAACTTTTATTCTGCTTTAAAAATAAAAATTCAAAAATACTGCTTCATCATCACGTTTTTTTTATAATTGCTCATCCTTTATTCAAATTTTTATACCCAAACAATCTGCAATACAGTAAATTTCGTCTGACGCTTCGGCGTATAATGCTCGCTTGAGAAAATTCTGAAAACTAGGTTTATTAATTGTCGTGAGTTCGTGAGAAAAGCGAATTCGGAAAAAACCTAAAAAATTCCGCATTCGTAAGATAACCTATAAATTTAAACGTAAAAAATAAAATGGAACTCAAAAATTATGAAATAAAAAAATTTATGAAATTACGGAAATTTGATTAGTATTTTTTCTGAATTTCTTGAATGATGACTAAAATCTGTTTCCGTTTTTCCGTGATATCTTGACGCCTTGCGTTTGAGGCGTTTTTTTTTCAATTCCATAATAGGTTTAGAAACTAACGACCGTGAACCATTTCTCTCATTTGCGTTCGTTTTAGGTTTAAATGATTTGACAAAAAATTCCGCAGCTCGGGTATAAGTAATTTAAATAGGGATTTCATATCTTATTTTATATTTAGACTTCATATTACGAATCAAAAATCAGATGACCATGTATCTTCTTAATAATTCACCTTAATAATTGTTGATCTGCTTCTTGCCTATAAGGGTGAAGTGAAAACCTTTTTCTTCATATCAGAAATTTTGATTATTTTGAAATCATGAAATTTTAAGCATGTGCGAATGGATGGACAAAAAATGATAAATTCAATGTATGTTATATCGCTGTAAGTTTTGCACAAGAATTTTTTATTGTCAATTTTTTTTGACTAATTGAATTAGTATTTCACTAAGGAAAGTGAACTATGGATCATATAATTATGTAGGAGGAAACGAAGAATGTACTCGTCGTGGTGGACATCTTGCTTCCATACATTCAATTGAAGAAATGAATTTTATAAACAGTAATTTTATCATTTTTAACATATATATATATATATATATGTAGGGAGATAGAATGGATCAGTGGGTTATGGTTCAATTCGGAGCGCCGATACTGCGGTTCTATTACGGGCAGGAGTGAACCTATCCAAAAAAGCCGGTGGTGCTGGCGACTCGCTGTTATTGCTATCGCCAAAGGACTCCGTGGCATATTTGTACAATGCGAGAAGCCAGCGGAACAAGTTTAACCAGCAATGGTGAGGTCCTTTAAAAGAATATATATATATACATATATATGTTAAAAATGATAAAATATATATATATACGTATATGTAGCATTCGGTTATTAATTTTGAAAAAGAAAAATTTAGTTGATAATATTTTAGATCTTCTCGGTAGTAATACATTTTGGATTGGATTCCATAAATATGGTTCTATATATAGATGTGATGAAGGAACGCCAGTGAACTTCACCTATTATCGACAAAGTCAACCAGACAATTGTTGCCCATTGGGTGCTGCCACATGTACACTTGTCAATTACATTGGATATGCTGGCCAGTGGGATGACGCTGGATATAACAATGTTTGGCGACATCGCTCAAATATTGTATGTAAAAAGCCAATGCATACAATATAAAAATATCTATTTCCATAAAATTAGCTTTGCTTCTACGCACAAACTGCTGTTTCAGCTTCATCTTACATTTTTTTTACTCAACGAATACCAAAATTTATTGAAGAACAGCAAGCTTAACATAATAAAAATAATTTTATAAAGTTAATTTATGATACAATACATGAATATGAAATTTCAAAATCATTTGATTAATAAAAAACCAAACAAACTTCATAATATTTAGCAAAAAATTGGATGATTTCATAGGAAAGTAATCTTTCCTTCTCCAAATTCATTTTTATTTTTTAATTGACTAAGCTTCTTCCAGAAATTTGATCTTTTATAGATATTGATTTTAATTTTATTTTTTGCGACAAATTTTATCCACTAAAAAGCAGCATTTCCTCTTATTCATTAAACATGAGATTCTAAAATGGCCAAAAATTATTTTCGTTCTAAAAGCTCATCATAAAATGATGAAAAAATATTTTTCAGAAAATATCATCAATTCTTTCAAAGCAAGCAAATTTCGCCTTCTCACCCCGTATAAGTACATATATTAATTATAAATTGCTTCACAACACCCATAATATATATTTTAAAACAACAAGAGGCACTGATACAGCTATATTCACTCACATCCGAGCTAACTTTCCGAATAACTTACCAAAAAATCGAGAAATTTGAAACGATTTGATAAATACGTCTACGGTTAATTTAATGTTTTTCTTCCAAAATTTTTTTCTGTGACCCATTCTAGATTATAATTTTGCATTGCTTCCTATGGAAGGAAGTTTCGAAAAGTGCCATTATTCTTTTGATATTCTGAACTCTTCAAAGAACTCAGTTCATTGCAAGTTAGGTTTGGTTAGCTGCATTGGCTATTAGAATAAGACACTTCTACGCTTTCCGATGGTCTGAGAATGTGAGACTACTTCTTTTTCCGCTTCTTAAGCCAATACATAGCTGATAGTTGCACCGCCTATGATTCAAAATTTTCTCTGATGTACCAAGCAAACATTCGTCGTCCCCGTCATTTTTCACGCCATTCATCATACAGTTTAACAAACAGCAAACATGTTCAAACGCTACAGCAGTTTTCGTTTAAAATAACTAAGGTTTATAAGAAACAAATAATATCGATACAAATAATAACAAATAATAATGAGCTGCAAATAATCGCTGGGGCGACAAACTTCATACACACTTGATTCAATTCATATTTGTTTAACTAATTTTCCTTTTGAAGTTAAATAATTAATTAATGGGTAGCACTAATAATCTTTATCTTTATCTTACCTTTATAACGACGCATTCACCAGAGGATCCACATCACCACTCATTTTTCAATGATAATTTCATCGCAACTACATGTGCCATTAAAAAAATTTGTAAAAAATATAAATAATTACAGATAGCAACCATAAACAAATTATAAAAACATAAATAAATACAATATTACAAATTGCTATCGAAAGACTTTTACAAGCGCTCACAACGATTCTTTTTTTCATTCAATTGTTTAATCGGTGTGCTGAAAAATATTATCAAAAATATTATTAGTCGACAGCAACACCCTATGCGCATTTGTTAATAACAATAATACAAACTATTAATACAAAATAATAATGAAAATAAAATAATAAAAGAATTGTAACTATTATAATATTAATGAAAACTGGTAAGTATATACAAAATAATTCTATTTATTTATTATCAAAACTAAATAGTGATAATATAAAAATAAAGCACATCATTAGGCGAACAAAAAAAAAAAATTTCAAAATAAACCACCCCCTCTCCCTGACATTTCTTTATATCCAAAATGATTTTTATTGATTAATGGAAATTTTCGCAAATTCAAGAGCAATTTGACAAAATCTTTAAATAAGAACATGCAAAACTGCTCCTGGTTTGGTTGGCCCCACCAATTATTAGTGATTGTACCGTCAAAAAACGAAATGAGGATAGAAATGAATATAAATCTCCATCTAGATTTTACCTTTAAAGATAAATTTATTCTTAAAAAGGAAGTAATGATGCATAACTGTACAAAAATCTGAGTATGAATGACTGCCACAAGTTGTGCCACAATTTTAACTGCTATGTGGACTATTTTAAAATTAAATATACTCTTTCCAAGCATCATTAAGCAGTAATAGAACCTCAAACATTAGTAAATTTAGTAATTAAACTTTTTATCAAAAAAGTTTAATTTAATTTTAATATGACAAGAAATATTAGATTAATAACAAAAAATAAAGGATATAGGAATAATAAAATGAGATATAATAATTATTTGGGAGTGCGAGGCCGTAAAATAACTCAAATTCCAAAGTATAGGACCGTAAATAATAATAAAGCCACACGAAAATGAAAAACCTCATACTTCTTTATAATCCCTAACAATCTCTCCTACATATTCGTACTAATTCCTTTCCTCAATAAGATCAATACAAATAAAACAAAAGTCTTTTCGTGGTATATAAAAGAAACTGATAAATTGCTTACTTTTATCAGTTCAATACCGGTTGAGGAAGTGGCTGACTTTAGATATCTTGGATCCGCTTTAATCCCAAACGGCTAAGCGAAAAATGAAACTCGAATAATGGTGGTAAAAGATGTGTTCTTCGGAAACCTTTACGAAGTCGTTGCATAATCATATAAAAGCGAGTCCAGAAAGAGCATCTATACAATTGCAATTCGCTCGCTACATGGCTATGAGACATGACCAGTGAGAGTGGATGATATTAAGAAACTATCTTTGACCACTCATATTCAAGATATATTTTGTGGGTTTACCGAGAATTTAATTTAATATAATTCCATCAAAAAAGAGCATTCGCTTGTTGGAAGATGTTCTTCGCCGCCCAGCACAAAAATTGATATTTCTTGCTTTGAAATGGGTGATATCACAAGCGATGAGGGCCAATCAAGAATGCTCAGGAAAAATTTTGAACGTATAGGTGGCTAGTAAATCATTCTTCTTCTTCTAACAGCTCACACCATTACTGGTTAGGCTGGTTCCGCTACCTACAAAGGTGAAGCGTCTGCATGCTCGATCCCACACCATGGCTAATAGTGATAGAAGCCATTCCTTTTTTTAAATCCATATATTGCTGGTCCACCTAAATCTTCCCTGACCGTATCAATCCAGCCTGATTGGCCCACCTCGCTTTTGACGCAATCCATCACCCATAACCGGTTTAACAAAATATGACAAACTCTTGTGGTGGATGACTAAAGGAATATCTCTGAAAATCGGCCACTTCCACGCTAGGGCATATTAATAGGAAGCAACTGTCCAATTGCCTGAAAAAGCTGCCAAAGCACGAATGTCAGGTGATCCTGACTACCGGGTGCTTCGAAGATTTGCAACGAAAGCAGCAAGGCGGGACAGAAATCTCTATTGGAGTGACATGGCCTTAAGAATGGAGGCGACGGCTCGATTAGGCGACAATAGGAAACTATTCTGCCTTCTTTATAAAGCAACTATGACTCGGGGAACGATCAGTGAAATGATAAGAGACAGCAATGGCAGTACTAATTAAAAGTATAAAGGATCGCCTCATAAGATGGAAAGAATTCTTTGAGGCCAAACTTAACCATGAAGCGTCATCTGTTGCCCCTGATATGTTTGCCGAAGCATACGTTTGTAATTGCGAGCCTCCAACAAAAGAAGAAATAATTTCAGTTATCCAAAAGCTTAAGGCCAACAAAACTCCAGGAACTCCAGAACACCAAGATGATCTTCGGGCTGAGCTTTTCAAATGCTGTCCATCGTCCTTCATACGTACCTTCAACAAATGTACTTTTTAGTAAGGAAAAAAGAAATATTACCAGATGATTGGAGCAAAGCAATTCTGCTTCCCATTCTTAAGAAAGATGATAGGAAATACTGCGACAATTATCGAGGAGTCAGCCTACTAGACTTCTCAGCAAAAATTTTTGCTTCCCTGCTACTCAATAGACTTATGGAAATAAGGGACAGCAGGATGCGCCCTAATCAAGCTGGTTTCAGACCATGGCGCAGTTGTGCTGACCAGATATTCACGTTAAGAAGAGTGTTGGAACATCGCTTCAAATATTTGCAACCCACTGTCATGAGTTATATCGACTTTGCGGCTGCCTTTGATTCAATTGATAGAGCGCATTGGAGGGTGATGGAACGTGATGGTGTTCCAGAGAAAATCATTAGATTCATAAAGGCATTTTATGAGCGCACGTCGGAGCAGATATGGAGAACTGATAGATCCCTTCGAAATAAGAAACAGGTGTCCGTCAGGACTGCGTCTTTTCTCCCACAACATTTTACTGGTTCGCGGAGTGGATAAAATCTCGAATCAAGATCGCTTCCACCTTCGTTTAAATACCACTTGCATAAATAATGTTATCATAGAGCGCAGCCTTCGCTGGTTAGGGCATGTTCTCCGTCGTCCACCACAGGAGTTGACGCATATTTCGTTATTTAACCGTGTGACGGTTGGCGTCAAAAGCGAGGTGGGCCAATCAAGATCTGGACTGATACGATGAAAAAAGATTTTGAACATATAAGTGGACCAGCAATATTTGGACTTAAACGATGGAAAAAGGAATGGCTTCCATTACTGTCGACGATGGCAGACCGCGCCTCTTGGAAGCGTCTTACCCTTATAACCGTTGAAACCTAACCAGTAATGGTGAGAGCTGTTAGAAGAAGAAGAAGAAGAAGAAGGTGGACGACAGAGAACGTGTCCTAACCAGCAAAGGCGATGCTCTGTGATAACATTATCAATGCAGGTGGTATTTGGACGAAGATGGATACAATCATGTGCGATTTTATCTGCTCGATTTTATTCGTAGAATGTACCTTAGACATGAGTGGTCAAAAGCTAATAGCTTGTTAATATCTTCCACTCTCATTGGCCATGTTTCGCAACCATATAGCAAGATCGAACGAATTGCAGCTATATGGACGCGAATTTTCGTGTTTATGGTGATTTCGCGGTGGTTCCATAAAGATTTCATTAACCGGAAAAACATAATTATAATTAAAAAACATAAAAACATAATCCTAGCTGCCGTTATCCGGGTTATGATTTCATGCTTTACCTGGCCATCTGGGATTATAGTGGATCCAAGGTGTTTAAAATCCAGCACTTCCTCAACCCGCAATGAATCGATAGGTATTTTATCAGCATCTTGTATATAAGACGAAAATACTTTCGTTTTATTTACATTGATTTTGAGTCCAGTCTCGCTGCAGTTGTTGACAAATTTTTTAACATTATTTGTATTTCCTCATAGCAAAAAGGACTACATCATCAGCGTATTTTAGGTCTGTGATGCTATGTTCTGGACTGATTTGCCTCTTGAGTGCCGACAAGCGATACCCATTAACCAGTCCATCGCATAGTTGAATATTGTGAGAGAAAAAAACGCAGCCCTGACATCAGTTTTTTTATTTCAAAGATCTCTTCCCCATATACAAAGACTTGCGCCATGGTATGCTGATAAAGTGTTTTTATGAGCCGAATGATCTTCTCTGAAACACGGTCATATTCCATCACTTTCCAGAGCGTTGTTCTATCAATCGAATCGAAAGCAGCTGCAAAATCGATAAAGCAAGTGACGGTCGATTGCTGGTATTTGAAACGATGTTCCAGCACCCTTCTTACCGTAAATATCTGGTCAGGACAACCGCGTCTCGTTATGAATCCGGCTTGGTTATTCTACTATACCGTATTGCCATGGGTCTATTTAGCAGAAGGTAAGCGAGAATTTTTCCGGAGATGTCCAATAAACTGATTTCTCGGTAACTGTCACAATACGTCCTACCATCTTTCTTAAGAATGGGAAGCAGAATTGCTTTGTTCCAACCTTCTGGTATTAATTCTTTTTGCCATACCAGAGAATATATTTGTCGATGGTGAGTTATGAACAATGATGGACAACATTTGAAGAGTTCGACCCGAAGACCATCTTCTCCTGGAGTTTTATTGGTCTTAAACTTATGGATTACAGAGATTATTTCCTCTTCTTTTGGCGGGCCGAGCCGCCGACTCCATTCTCAAAACATAACACTCCAATAGCGATTTCTGCTGTCGTTCTTCGAAGTATCCGATATTAAAGGACATTCAGGCGTTGGCAGCTTTTTCAGAAAGTTGGACAGTTGCTTCCGACACCCAACCAGCGTACTACTAGTATCCTAGTGTGGAAGTGGCTTACTTTTGTAGGCATCTTTTTAATTGGGACCAGTATTCATTCGCCTTTCCAGAGATGTCACTGACTCAGGTTTCAATAATACGGTTTGAAATGCAATTATTGCTCCTGGATCTTTCAGTTTGAGATAATTGAAAGATTTTGGGATAAATTTTTTCTTAGGACTTGTCAATTTTATGCGAATCTCGGCTCGAATCATAACATGGTCTGATTCATGGCGGTTACCAATTTCAGTGCCCCGATAAGAGCGACTATCAAATACAGAATTCTTTCAGCGGTGACTGACCAATATATAATAAATATATATAACCTTATTGGAATATTGGTTGTGCAGAGAGTTCCATGTGACTAGATGTTTCAATCGATGCCGAAAGCATATATTAATAACAAAGAGCTCTGTGCTATTTGGCCAAATGAAGAAGACATTTTCCATTGGCGCACTGGCCCCCCATGCCATATTTGCCAATCACCGAGTTTATCGAAACGAAATCATGACCTACGCGCGGATTCCATTCTCTCTTGAGTATGACCTTGTCATCTCTCGGTAAGGATGCTGTTAACTGTTGAAATTCCAGAACTTATCATCTGCGCATAAAGCTGGAGCATATACACTGACGACTGAAATATTGCAGAACTTTCCTTTGAAACGTGCGTAGGCTATATGGTCATTTACTGGTTGCCATTCAATCAGAGCGGATCATGCCTTTTCAGACATGACAATCACTAAGCCATTTCGCCCCGAGTTATCCGAGACACTACTGTGATATAGCCAATATCTTTGCTCGCGATCAGGTTTAATAATTATTCGGGAAGCCGACATGAGAAAAATGGATCTCCGACAAACAAGCCACATCAACGTGGTATTTAGAGAGGGTGTGGATAGGGCTTGGCCTACAAAATCCATAAGCGTTCTGACGTTCCAAGCAGCTATAGCCAACATCTCATCGCGCTTACAAAATGTTAACGGAAGTGTTAGGTTTCTCCCTCGACAGATTTTTAGTACTTATTTCGGTTCGCGAGCAAATTCTATGCTTGCGCCTTGTACTTTTATTATTATTATTATTACTATAACGCTCGGATTGTATATTCATCGCATATACCACCGGGTCAGAAGTAACATGCCAAAGAGACCTGAATCTTTCGACATAGAGTCACTTATAGTTTATTTTTGAATGTAGAGATATAGGTGGGTTCCCACCTGGATTTTTGACAAAATGACAGCTTTACTCCTGTCAAAGACAAAGGATAGAGATAATTAAATTTGAAAAAGATGATATAATAAAGGGAAAAAAATTTAAAAAAAAGAAAAAAAACTTATTCGATTCGTAAATTCGTAAATAATAATTAATAAATAAATTATAAAATAATAACATAATATGATAATACAGCGATAGAAGATCATTTTTTTTTGATTTTATTGATTAATGAGCAGAGCGCCTTTTCGATACAACCGCTCATAAGGTCAATTTCATAAATTATAAATTAAATTAAATTACATCTTATATTAAACAATATTTTTTTCTCTTTTTCCTTTTTAAGTTTTTTTTCTGTTTTACTTTTATTAAGTTTTACTAAGTTTTTTATTTTTTCACCCTTCATTAATTTTTTTCTCTTTTCTTTTTTTTCTATTTTATTTTTTCTCTTTTCGTCTTAAACAGGGATGAATTATAATATCAAAAATCCGGGTGGCTATTGTGGACCGACCTGTAACTATATCCTTAAGTTGACTCTGTGGTTGGATCTTTTGACAGGGCGATCGCGTTCTCCGACGTGTATGATATTTATAATCGGGTGGTACATGCGATATGTATTCAATCAGGGTGTAGTCAAATGACCTTAACGCTTGAATGTGAAGTACCGGTGAGCCAGAGTAACTGTTCGAAACCAATCAAGGGAAACGGCTCTCTGTACGCGCGGAGAGATATTAACCGTAGCAGCGTGGAAAATGTTGCAAGCCAAATAGTCACGGTCCACACTCTTTCTAAATTTCGTGTGGATGTTTCCTGCTTATCGAAGATCTATCTTCTCCCTTCTGATCCCGTACAATTATTAAATCTGGCACTGAGCAGAGCTACTGGCTATATCATTGTGGTATTTGAGATAATGTGAGATCACCGTCAAAATGAAAGATAGCACCTATATGGCAGCGTATATCTATTTGACTATTTAACACCAAATTCTCAACTCAAATTTAATTTCTTTGTTCATCTCTTTGCTAATTAAGGGGAAAATTTTCGTTTTTTTCTCAAAGCGCTGATCATTTCTAATTAGATCTGGTTAGCTTCATCTTATAGCTGACTTTCAGAAAAGCCAAATTTTGCCCAGAAAATATCTTGGCGATAAAATACCATTAGCATCATCCAGATTTTTGAAAGATAGGTTTCCTGCCAGGAATAGAAACGCATATTCTATCCCTATAATACAATAATTACAATTGGTTCGCACTTCTTTTCACGAAGTCTTCTTCAGTTGCAGTTTTTTGACTGAAGGATCTTCTATTTGCTATCGCTTGTGAAACGCAATTAGAATCTTATGCGTGCCGGTTAAATTATTTTTTCTCCAGCAATAAGTCGACATATCACTCGATTACCTAGTTTTACAATTTCAGAAATTTGGTAAGCTTCAATGAATTAAAATTTTCAATATATTTTTGGAATTAAAAGCTCAAAAAAAATAAGTTCTCGGTGAAAAATCCTATTTTATGAGTCTAAACAAGATAAATAAGATTGTTTCCCCAAGTAAAATAAAATGCAAGAATAAAAAAAACAACTAAATGTAACCTCTGAACTTCAATAGGTGTCCGAACAAAAGTTGTTGATGGAGAACGAGGATCGTTTTGAAGAAAGCGAGAAGTTCGACCGTTAAATTTTTCTGGTGTATGGAATTTATCGTTTTTGCCATCGAGAACTTCTTTCACTTTTTTTTTACCGTGAAAATTTCCCATTTCAATAGCAACTAATTGATCTGAAAATAACTGAATAAAATTATAGCAAATTGGATGGAGAAAATCAATCAAATCACTTTCATAATTATAACCTTAAAATTTCAACTTTTTTAATAAGATTTATTAATGATAGTTTTATTGCCGGAAATAAGAATAGAACATTTGCCTCAATTACTCAACGCAAAAATCTGAGCCACTATCCACTCGGCTATCTTGACTCATTGTTTTTATGAATGAATCTTTCAGGAAAGTTCTTTAAGGACAAAAATGTCTTTCACTTTCATAACAAATGTACTCCAAATAAAAGATCGAAACTACGACCTCAATCAATCCATATTGCATATTGCTTCATACTTAAACTATTACTTGGAAATCACATATTCTACCATCGCTTAATATGAAAGTCAAGATAACGAGTGGTTTTTGCCAGATTATGAACTATCTCGATGCCAATGATCACCATTAAGGTCCGAATTCTATCTTCAAGACCGGATCTTCAAGAAATCAAAGTATACTGAAGACCTACCTGTACTTCTCTCCCAAAATGACTTAAGATAAGAATTTCATATTTTACTAACAGCCAGTGGAGAAATGATGAGCGCTAACCACCAATCTACTTAACACAGGGCTCTAAATAATAATTACTTCACTTAAAAGTTTTTTGATTTTAAAGTTTTAAAGAAAAGTATTAGACCATAATTACATATATTTGATACTTTTCTATAAATATGTACCTTTTATTTGTATTATAGCAGTATTTGACCTAGGGACAACCCCAGACATCGCCATTAATCATTTTTTGTTGAACTTATCGACTTATGCGATACAACCAAGTCCTCGTTCAATCATGTTCCATTTCAAAATAAGTGAAAATAAATTAAACAAAAATAAAACGCCCAAGCCTTAAATACCACCAAATAATAAACAAATAAATAAAAGCGGTTATCGTTTCTAATTATTCTATTCTATAGTTGGAAATTTTTGCCAGAAAATTAACTGGGGCCAGAAGCAAGAAGTATAGACAGGTGGCCAACGTCGACCAGATTCCTCAGTGATGGTTTAATCCTATCGCAAGCAAAATACTTGACCATCAATACGATAAGCTAGACCAATACCACAGAGAATCCTATTTTTCCTCTTAAAACTGGATTATTTTTGCTTAAAAAATACCAAATCACTTCTTCATATAAGGTTGAAATTCGGATATAAACCATACAAAATTTCAAAATTTTATAGATGGAAAGTACAAATAATTCCTTAAATAATCAATTAAATTTTTGGTGAGTATAAGTCAACTGAAAGATGTGGGTTTATGTGTTCAAAAAAAAAATTCCTCTAAATTTTTAATTGATTCAAACTGATTTTTCCATCGATCGGCATCGTAAACAATACTTTCTTCAGTAACTTTTCCACGGAAATTTATATTCGACTTATTTCAAAATATTCCTCCATTTTTTCAATCCAGTTAATAGTAGACAAAGAGTTATACTAAAGAAATTTCTTTTCTGTAGGTCTATCCATGATTTCCATGATTCACTCTTATCAGTGCAATAACTTAGTGTGTAATTGATAAATTCAATCATACCGCTTAATAAATTTTTTTTTACTAAGTTCGTCGAATAGTTTTCTACGAATGCTGATTACCTTCTCCTACTTCTAACAGCTCTCAACATTACCGGTTAGGCTGGCTCCGACGGCTACAAGGGACGGCTACAAGGGCTTCCAAGCGGCGAGGTCTAATGCTATCGTCGACAGTAACAGAAGCTATTCTTTTTTCCATCGTCTAAGTCCATATATTGCTGGTCCACCTATATCTTCAAAATCTTTTCTGGCTAATAAGTCCAAGTCTTGACTGGGCCTCCTCGCTTTTGACGCCATCCATCAAAGGGTTTAGCAATAATGAAACATGCGTTAATTTCTGTGATGGACGGCAAGAAACCTCCCTAACCAATGCTCTGTAACCAAATAGAACAAACAAACTGAGAACACTTAATATTGCAACCAGTAATTAATAAAATAACACCCTTTTCGTAAATAATCAGCTTATAACCACTATATGATAATCAAGAATATATGATAAAGCGCATCACCTATCGTGCAGACCTATCGTACCATCGTATGACAGTCAGCCAAGCCCACTAGAATCTCTCCCCCACTCCCCGAACCCCCTTCCAACCCCCC